ACCGTTGGATGAAGGCCTCCCAATGTATGGGTGGTGTGGGTTATTCAACCTTACTCCACAACGCTGGTCAGTACCGGTTGGTGAAGGTGCAGGTTCTGCCACTCTCCTACCCACAATACCATGGTGGTCACCCATCCAAGTACTATCCAGATTAAAACCTGCTTAGCTTCCAAGGTTTGTCAGGATCTGGCATATTTGATCAATATAGATGAGAGCCTCAACACATCTTTAAATAATTATTTCGTGAAGAAGGCCAGTCAGCCAAAACCTTTAACAAAAAAGTATTCCCATATGATTATAAGATGACCCATGAAGTAAGACGCACCCCAAACTTTTGTCCTGAGTCAATAAAGTTATACAGTAAAATTCTGGTCACACCTATCAGATTATAATATACTTATTGCTTTAAAATACAGGGAGGGAAAGTGATTCTGTTTTATAATCTGGAGAATGTGTTACAAGTAATACACCTGTTATTCCAATACAGTAAACATCGTGAACGTGTCGTGCTATTGTTTTTGATTTACAGTGCTTCTAAGGTTGCTACATATCAATCACACGAGGAGCTGTAATTCTAATTTTGCTTCGCAAAAATTTTTAGTTCCATTCAACCCTTTAAATTTCCTTATAGTGATTTATTTTCTAAAAAGTTAATTGATGGAATTTGGATCATTATAACCACTACCATAATGGTCCTAACTCCTTTCCTAACCACAATAGGAATGTGGAGGCAGTAGCCTTTAGCATCTATATGTAGTCATTATATAGGGATATGGTTGTGATGCGATCACGAAGCTTTGTATAGATATTCTGTATGGGCTACTGTAGATAAAGTTCAAGGTTATCCTTAACTTAAAAATATGGATGAGAAAGTAATAATGTTATGAGTCAGGTGTAATAAAGCAACAAGAAACAAAGCCTTTACAGGTGTATGTGGAGTGTACCTTGAAGCTTACGACAACATCACATGCAGCAGCAAAGTTTTGTGAACACAAGCGGGAAGACAGTTACATTAGGTGAGGCAGGTGTGTAGAATAGGGCCATTGAGACGTTCTTGGAGGACTGGGATAAAATGTCATATGAGGCTCCCTCTAAGGTGCCTGCGAGCTGTTCTAAGGCCCCCTTGAAATCTGCAGCCTGGGAAAAACTCGCTCCTGGCTCACCTCCAACCCCGTCTCTATGGCCCTCGTAGGAGAGCAGGATAGCCAGACGCCTTGAAGTGAACACCCAGGCATCGGTGACCAAGTAGCAAACCTATATCCAGTTGAGATTCTGAAAGGGGCGACCGTTAAGGCTGTGTTTCGATTGTACAATTGCAAAACCTGGCAGAATTAAAACCCGTATGCATCTACCAAATATCTCTCCCAGAGTGTGGCAGCATCACCCCAGAATTCATCCCACAGACGACAGCTATACCACTTGCTCTCTAGTGTTATGTGCTGAACGTGATGTGACATGACGTTGCTTGGCCATCATTCCAGAAAACCCCAGGAAGTCACGTGTGTTATGTCCTGTGGTAATACAAGTTGCTTTTGTGGGGACGGCGGTATATATATGTCACGCATCTAGCTGATCCTTTCACCTTAGTTGACCTTCAGCTGACCTTCAGCTGCTGATCTTTGAATACCACTGTGAGGAATTCAACATTACGGTAGTTGTCCGATGAGCAGACTCGCCCCCAACAAACCAATGTGGAATTTCCGACACTGGATCAGTGCTATAAGGAGGACGTTAGCAGTGCCTCAATGCTCATATGAGCAGAAAATCACTTGATTTTTTGATCATTAAACACCTGCTGTATTTGCAGCTACAAATTATTCCAGTGGGCCAGTGTCAAGAGGCAGTGGCACCAACCACGGATAATTTTGCTCAATCAGCAGGGGACGTAACATGGAAAATTACAATTCGTAAAAGCGTCAACAATGGGTGAGAGCATATGCTTTAGATTAATTAACTACTGTATTTTTGATTTAAAGCTTTCGTGACTGCAGTAATTCATATTCTTAGTTCTTTCGGTAAAGTCACGTTGAAGGGAAACAACAAAATAATAAAATATATATAAAACAATAAAAATTCTCACGACGTTTCGACCATAACACAAACGGTCGTCTTCAGGTGTGTTGGTTTGCATAAAATTATTTTAAAACGGTGTATTTATTTATTTATAAAACGTTAGCGCCACGCGCAGCGATTTGGCAGTTTATTTAGGACTAGTCCATCTATATTCTGAAAAGAGGAGGGGGGAGACGAATTTTTTTTTAATGTATGCTGTCTGAAAGCCACTGTAAGCGTGAACAATCAATTAATCCACAACAATGGGTGAGAGCATATGCTTTAGATTAATTAACTACTGTATTTTTGATTTAAAGCTTTTGTGACTGCAGTAATTCATATTCTTAGTTCTTTCGGTAAAGTCACGTTGAAGGGAAACAACAAACTAATAAAATATATATAAAACAATAAAAATTCTCACGACGTTTCGACCATAACACAAACGGTCGTCTTCAGGTGTGTTGGTTTGCATAAATTTATTTTTAAACGGTGTATTTATTTATTTATTTTAAAAAAACGTTAGCGCCACGCGCAGCGATTTAGCAGTTTATTTAGGACTAGTCCATCTATATTCTGAAAAGAGGAGGGGGGAGACGAAATTTTTGTTTTAATGTATGCTGTCTGAAAGCCACTGTAAGCGTGAACAATCAATTAATCCACAACATTTAAATGATGACGTCACCCTGATGCTCTATTTAAGACCGGGAGCAGGTGGAGGGCTTCACTATTCTGGTAAATCGCCCGATGATGCTGGATGTAATTACCAGCGAAACGTCGTACTCAAAATTGTAAATGTTGTGGATTCACTCTTCAACACACCGGTGGGCTAAAGTAGTGAACAATTTGTCTTTTGTCAACGTGACACATTTTTTACTGATTGGCCGTGTCGGGTGGTGGAGGGTTGCGACACATTTATAAATAACGCGATCTAACCCAAAAACTACTTTTTTATGAATAACTACTGTATGTTGGAAAACCCATCGACATTTTTTTGTTAAATACATGTAGGAATCTTGATTTGAAGCTTTTGCGACTGCAGGAATCCATACTCTTTGGTTCTTTCGGTCAAGTCACGTAGGTAAAAATAAAATAAATCACGACGTTTCGATTTCAACACAAGCGACCGTCATCAGGCGGAACCGATACAGCAGGAGAACTGCTCAGCAGTTGTCCTGCTGTATCGGTTCTACCTACGTTACTTTACCGAAAGAACCAAAGAGTATACATGTAGGAAAGCTACAGAGTATTAGAACTTTTGTTAGTGTGTCCTGCATAAGGGTAATGAGTGTTATACATTGAGTAAAATATTTCTGGGAGAAAACCCCACGTGTATCAAGCTGTTGACATCTCTCAAATACGCACACGTGTCCCAAGAACCGATTCTCTGAATTGCCAATCCTTAGCCACGTCGCAGCCCAGCACGTGGATAATTTTACAGCGCGATCGTTTTTCGTAAAAAAAAATCCGATTAAACTTTTATACAGACTTTGGTCACGTTGACCTGAAAAAGATGTCTAAAAGAGGAAATATGAAGTCGGTACAACCAGGCCAAAGTAACCTTATTATCATAAGCCTTGGGCCAACAAAAAACAGGGTCGACAGCCTTTATGTCAGCGCAGTTGCACATTTAAATCCCCTCTGTATGCGTGCAGATGTTGGCAGCGTGTACAGTAGTAAACAATTATTTGTGTGATAGAAAGGTCTGCATTTTCTGCAGATGAAAAGAACTGGACGGAGTAAGCCATCATGGCACCAACAATGTTTCTCAGACAAGAATAATGCGAACTCCCCCTGTAGTCAATGTTTTTAGTAGGTTTAAAGACAACCCCAGGATGTTGTATTATGTGTGTGGGCCTTGGAACACTTTAATGCAGACAGGAGTTTTACTTCACCTTCATATTGTTGGCGCTTTGGCTACATCTTCACAATCCTATGCAAAATATACTTTTGTTTAAAAAATAGTGGATACAACCGTAAGAATGTAGAATTTCTGCTGCTGCATCAGGGACACAAGCATCGTTGAGACATGCCCCATACTGTTTTGAGGATATTTTGTTCTATAATTTTGCGCCCTACATGCCGGGGCGTCCCAGAGCGCTTCACACGCGATAGACGACTTGCATCACACATCTCACCACATTTGAAAGTGCACTTCCAAGTCTTTGGGGTGCGTGGCACACGGTAACTTATGCCTGCAAGGTTGGTATAGGTCTGCCAGTAGGGGGCGATGATTGCTATGTGTAATCCAAAAGGATCCATTTGCTAAAAGTGAGCTAGGTTTTGCCCAAAACCTGGCCAGCTGGCTCAACAACTTATTAAATTAGTAATTTTCGAATTCGGACCGTGATGACGGCACATAATGGGTTATCCATTTATAATGACGGCAGGGGATCTTTAACATTTACCATGAAGCAGACGTGTGTTTTTTTTAGGTTAATACACCATCCAGTTAGAACCGGAGTAGCCTACCAGATTTGAAACTCGATCCTTTTCAACTTTGTGACTTTACGAATACATACACACATACTGATATTTTTTTACAATAATGCTAAAAGTTAAAATAACATGTAAATTAGTTCATTGCAAAGTATCACATTTTAAATAGTTCAGTAATGCGTAAATAAATGCACATCTTTTCAGTGTCTCATTTTCAAAAAAGCTATGACCATTTGATGTTTGTAAAATGATGATACAGGCAAAGCCCAGCTTGTGACACGATGGGGGAACCCTTTGCGAATAGCAGTAAGATGCCCCCCTCTTAAAACGAGGCAGAGGGTAAGCGAGGCTCGGGGTGAGGGAGGCACGGGGTGAGCGAGGCACGGGGTGAGGGAGGCACGGGGTGAGCGAGGCACGGCGGTGAGCGAGGCACGGGTGAGAGGCACGGGGTGAGCGAGAACCGGGGTGAGCGAGGCCCGGCGGTGAGCGAGTTTAGCCGATGCAGCACAGACCTGACAAATGCTCAGGGGCAGGAGATGGCAGTGACGAGTGGAGGAGACGGTCGCGTTCAGCAGTGACAGCAGCAGAGGTGAGGCGGTGAGTCGGAGAAGTCAGAAAAACGTCAGGACCTTTGCCGGGTGCTGGACTGGCCAATAGCAGGAGCTGGTTAGTGGAGGTTAGAGCGAACGTACACTTCGTATTTTTACAGTTTGCAATTTATGGAATTTACCGTAGAGTTGCAACAGGTGTTGATTATAGTCACGTTTGTAAATTCAGCAGACGATGCGTGAAAAGACAAGGTTTATCTGCACGAGAGATTCAATGTTTGTCAATTGAGTGCGCGGTCGAGTGACACATCAACGACATATTCGCACCGCCGTGTACACAATGTGAATATGAATGTATATCCACAGTCGCCTTGCCTCTGCTCTACTTACACCTGTTCCTAAGCAGGAGTGGCCAGGTAGCTAAACTTGGCGTGTTCACTGAGAGCGCTGGCATCGCAACGCGCCTCAAGGGGGCCCACCCCCCGCCCGGCCTTGACGTCAACACAGAGAGCCCCCCCCCCCTGCCCCCCCTGGCTCCCCTCGTCTCTCGTGGGACCCCCACTCCACTCCACCCACCCTGGCTCAAGGGCCCTCTGCGCCCTGCCACTGTGAACCTGCTGCGCAACAGACCACGCAGATACACAACCCTGCTCGCTGCAATAGCAGCAGCACATATTTCCACACAGGGAAGTGTTGTTGTGTAATGTCATGCGTGACCGATGCAAAACAAAGGTTGTGTGGCCTGGCAAACGTACATCAGAGGTACGCGTTGCAAGCCCTGAAATTTTCTTACACACGCTGGGCCAGGCATCTTGGAAGAGTTTACCCCCCCACCACACACGACTTGTCAATGTAATAATAGGAGTTTCCCCCTTTTTTTCTGGCAACAAAACTGAAACCTTTTTACAAGGATTCATGTCTGCATTAACCACAATACCTGCAGTCAAAATGCAAACAAAAGACATGCTATGATAATATATGCATTGTCCTTGAAACTGGTTGGTCCACACCAAGGGACGGCTTTCTTTCGAGCCTTGACCCAATTGGTGCTCGACCAGATGTTTTTTGTTTGCATTTTGACTGCAGGTATTGTGGTTAATGCAGACATGAATCCTCGTAAAAAGGTTTCAGTTTTGTTGCCAGAAAAAAAGGGGAAAAACACTATTATTACATTTTGGCACTGGCAAAGGAGGTCTAATGATGACTTGCCAATTGTATGTATGTTGACATTATTTCGCACTGTACGTAACCAACCGTGCTAATCGGAGATGCGGAGGAAGGACAACAAACTAAACGCAAAAAGTAGTTCTCAATAAATGAGTTTTCAATGGAGATAATTTTAAAGTGCATAGCTCCAGTGGCTTCCTAATATCGGAAGAGCGTTCCAGACGGCCGCAGGAGCGCATCTGAAAGCGCTCGATGCAGCGAACCGTTGTTGCTCGATGGCCATCCAAACGCCGCTGCGATGATGACCGGGGATCGCGTGATGGTTTATGTACCTTGAGATCAACAAAGGTAGTGTGGCTCATTTGTGGCAAGCACTTTGTGTGTAATGAGTGCGACCTTACAATGCATTTGGATTGTACATATACAGCACTTTTCGTACGCGTAATCTCTGCTGTTCGCGTTCTTGGTTAGAGTCCGCTTTCGAAACTCACGACCCCCACTGGGGAGGGGAGGCCCCAGGAGCACGCAGTCGCAGCAAGGCTGCGTGTGTTTGGGTGACACCTTCATGTCCCACGGGGCACACAGTGACCGCGATGTCCCATTCTGTAGCTGTTACACCTCTCCTCTTACCCCCGGCGAAACGAGTTCTCCGGATGAGTGAAAATGGCACTTCACTGTTGCACTGCAAGGTATATGATGATAATAGGAAGAAAAAAACGAGCGTTATCATGTAGCGTCAATCATGAACACTGCATCTCGTAGCACTGCACAATCAGCAACACATGGGGGCTCATATATTTACAGTATATGTTTTCAGCCGATTATTTGAGTGCTTATACACGTGGGGGGAAACCCCACGCGTGCGAGGGGGGGGGTGCAACACTATCCCATACAGAAGGGACAGATGACATAAGTCTGCAGTCTACTGGTACGCTGCTATCTGGAAAGCCAGGGTTATGGCTCCTTGACGCCCACGGCAAGAGAGTTTCGCAACATTGTGCGATCCACTAACCCTAACCTCCACGGTGGTAGATTCCAAGCGTGCATAGCCACCGCCGCCAGATCTGAACACTGACAATTTGTTTTAAGGTTACCTTTCATGACGGCAAACTCCTGGTATGTTTACTTCAAGGGAGTCGGCAGAAATTTTTCGGCTCTTAACTGCCATCATTGAAACCACAAGTCACGGAAGGAAACCGCTGAACCTTTATCAGCGAACACGGACGTGGCCATTCCACCTTCCTCTTTGCCTCAACACTGCAACGAATGTTTATGGAATATTGTGAGTCTGTTTTATTATAATCCTTGTGCCAATCCACTGCTGGGTGAAGCCCTCCTCCTGCCATGTCGGTCATGGATATGGGGTTGTTGTTGTTAGACCATTCTTCACTGCGTTCTTCAGTGACAATTGGTTCAAATGGGAATGTTCAAGGTTTCGTTTAGACGTCACCACTGATGTTAGAGTTATGGCCAGGAAACGACCTGTGGTGGTGCAGTTGGTCAATGCACTGTAAGTTAACGTTGGTAGAAAAAGGATCACCAGCTGTTCACTCAGAAGAGTATTTTGTATATCTGGTTGCCAATTCAACATTCTTTCCATGTGACCGTCATGTACATATAGCTGCTTGTGTGAAGCTTGGCGACGCTTATTCTATGTTCCCCATGGGTTACAGGCATGACACGTTCTATTATTATTGTAGCTTTCAAAGTCTATTTCTGTCACTTTTGGAGATATTCCTGTAACTGTTTCCATCCAACTTTCAGATTCAACAAAAGTGGGACATCTTTGCCAATATCAAAGGATGAAAAATAAGAATAGGTTTTACACTTTTTGGCAATACAATAGGTGCTAAGATCTTCAAACACCAAATCAATACCTTTGGCAATTAATCAAGTCCACATTAACCACACGTACTTGTGGTGAACATGCAAACAAAAATGTTCTGATAATATATGCATTATTTTTTAAACTGATTGGCCAACACCAGATAGCTTTCTTCTTGATTCCTTGCAAAATATATGTATTTGGTGTTTGAACATCTTCACATCTCGATTTAAAGCTTTCGTGACTGCAGGAATTCATATTCTTGGTTCTTTCGGTAAAGTCACGTATTATTTTATTATTTCCCTTCTACGTGACTTTACCGAAAGAACCAAGAATATCTTCACATCTGTTGCATTGCTATGAAGGGTAAAACCTATTATTATTTTCAATACTTTAACAAAAATGGTATGCATTTGATTTTATCGCATTTTTAACGCATTTTTTGGGTCACCATTGCAATGCAAAGTCTAAACTTAAAATAGATCAAGCACTATCCAAACTCATGCCTGCTTAGCTTCTCAAGTCTGAGGAGATCAGATACATCTGGATGAATTGCTAATGTAATCGTATTTTCTTGACTTAAAGCTTTCGTGACTGCAGGAATTAATATTCTTTGGGTCTTTCGGTAACGTCACATAGATAACAAAAAAACTACGACGTTTCAATCGAAATGTCGTAGTTTTTTGTTATTTTGTTATATTGTTTGAAGCTATCTACGTGACTTTACCGAAAGACCCAAAGAATCATAATCGTATTTTATATGGATTTTGCTTGCCAATAACATATGGTAAGTGCAGCAGTGTTTGTTTAACAAACCTGACTCTACTGATGAGACCCAGGTTGAAACTCGTCCAGAGTTTGGTTGTGTAAATAAATTCTGCTTGATTATATTGATCCATGAAAACCACTAAGCTGATGCACCACACATTTGTTTCTTTTTACGTGGATACGCAGAATGGAGTTGTGATTATTTATACATTATTTTGTAGAGAGAGTACAGTAAGGTTGTGCATTACAAAGGAGTAAATGCAAGGGAACACTCTGGATCACAAAGGGCTCTGGTAACTGGCTGTTTTAAGTTCCCACAAGATCGATTTTAATTATTCATTACGATTTAATCATATGGTCTGCCGGCATCTCCAGACAGTGGAACAAGTGGTAGTGATGTAATCATAATAATAAAGTTAGAAATTCAGATACCTTTGTAAATCCATCGCTGGATGAATGCTTCCCCATGCCGTGTCAGTCATAGTGGTTGTTTGACCATACTTCACCACACTGGCCAATGCGGAATGTTAATGACAGGGGAGGGGACTGGAGCAGCCAAGTTTCACTCTCCACTGATGTTAGCTGTCACCGGGAATTGAACTCGGGTGGATTGGGTTCATAAAACGGTTTGCGGTCCAATGCACCTTCGCTCTACCCCTCATTACGGTACTGCTATTTTACTCAGATTTCTTTAATCACGTGGCCAGGTCATTTGATTAACAATAAGAGGATACAATCTTGTAAGATTAATAAGGTAAGGGAGAGCTGTGGTTTTTATAATTTAAATTACTGTCCACTGACCGGAATCAGCGCAATGGAAAACCAAAGTATCTTAAATTTTTTTAATATTCTCAAATTGAGGACTGGTATATTTTATGGATCACTAGCTTTACTACCCGGCTTCGCCCGAGACTTGGAGTCTTGTCTTGGATTAATACACGGCCTACGCGGAGGGTGGGGGGGGGGGGATGCGTGACGTTAACAGGCACACTGCGTGACGCTTCCGCATGCGGGTGACATCACTGGTGTGACGTGACCACTCAATTTCCGTGCAAAATATATGCATTAGTGCGCCCCCCCTCCCCCAAAATACAAAAGTTATTTTTTTATACGTTTTGCATTGTGTACAGTCTAGAAGCTACCCGCATGCAAAATTTAAAGTTTGTTGCATATCGGGAAGTATGCTAAACATTTTGAACAGACACACATTCACAAATTTCCCTTTTATATATGTAGATAGCTTTACTACCCGGGACTTGGATTCACCACGCCCGGCCGCCTTTGTCTCTCCGGTGGCGATGTTCACACAGCACACCAGTTACTCGTTTGAGGCTGAGTGGACCTAGGGGAGGCCCAGGACCGATTCAAATAATCGTTGCCGGTGGTGGCCGTGAGCGGGAATCGAACTCCGGTCGCCAGGTTTAGTAGCGCAGCGCGCTAACCACTACACTACCGCTCCCCCCCACATGTGCGCGCGTCCATAGGTACACATACACGCGCTTGCAGCAGACACACAACTTTCAGGGTGCGTACGGCAGTAAACGACTCAAATAATAAAGCAATGCTGCACCAAGAACGCCTGAGACCTGCAAAACATTTGTATGGTACTTTACTCGTGGAGGGTTGGGGGGGGGATGCGTGACATCAGCAGGCACACTGCGTCACGCTTCCGCATGCGGGTGACGTTGCAGATTTGACGTCACAGCTCACTTGCCGTGCAAAATAACCATTAAGGGCCGTCCATAAATGACGTCACGCACCGGGGGAAGGGGGTCAGACATTTGTATCCACAACATTTACTCTCTTCAACACACCGGTGGGCTAAAGTAGTGAACTATTTGTCTTTTGTCAACGTGACACTTTTTTGCTGATTGGCCGTGTCGGGTAATGGAGGGTTACGACACATTTATAAATAACGCGATCTAACCCAAAAACCTTTATTATGAATAATATTGGTCGCGAAAGCCTACGTGTTAAACCAATTTGCAATATCTGGGAGTTGATGGTTTCATATCTGCACATGTAACTCACAATAAGCAACAGTTATAGATATTTTGATTTAAAGCTTTCGTGACTGCAGGGATTCATATTCTTGGTTATTTCGGTAAAGTCACGCAGAAGGGAAACAATAAAATAATAAAAATATAAAACAATAAAATTCTCACGACGTTTCGACTGCAACACAAGCAATCATCAGGTGTGAAAACCACAGCAAGAAAATTTTGTTGCTATTTTTATTATTTTATTGTTTCCCTTCTACGTGACTTTACCGAAAGAACCAATAATATAGTTATAGATATGTTTTAAATCTCGGCATAAGAATGAGAACATAAAACAGAACAAACGTTCTGTCTAAGTGGGTAACAGGAATCATTGTGAGACACTGTGCTGAGACTTAGGCCGTGTTTACATCCAAGGATATTGCATTACATTACGAGCCTTAAACATAAGACCCGGGTGATATCTTGTGGCGAAGGGATTAGAGCGCTGAGCTAACACTGCTGAGAGAGAGCCTGTGTTCGAATATGGGCAGCCACCTGCAATTAAAACTAGGTTCTCAATTGTAGATGATTGTCTTATTAAAATCACAAGTGACTGCACACTACAGAAATTCGAAAGTTCCAGGTCTGGAATTTTTCAGTTTGTCATGCGAAAATCACATAGCAGAGTGTATCGGGAATGGTCCCCACCATTTCTGGAAAGCGTGACAAGTTAACGTGAAGGATTTTTGGGGTGTAGTCCTGTGAACAATATCTTTCGCTGGCATTTTCTGCGTAATTTTGACTGCATCTCGTGACATGATGCCGATAGCACCATAAACTAACGATGGAGAATAAACTAAGCAAAAATGCACCAAAAGGTGAACAAACATCGAAGCTCAGTGGGTTGGGGGCCATGTCACAATGCCCAACCAAGTGGCCAGAAGGCGTTCCTGCATTGCTCCCTGGTGGCATACGTGGAGATAGCAACACACGTTGCAATATATGTACAGTACTGTCATTCAGATTCATAAACAATTTCAATAAGTTTCAGTTTAATTTATTTGGTATAGCTCTGTGAGCCATTCGGCTGTTGAATCGGGTGCAACCGCAACAAACATCTTAAAGTGACTATGCGCAAACAGACAAATCCAGGAAAAAAACAGCTAAAAGTTCAAACTGCAATTCAAGATCCCGATACATAGAGGGCACTTGCGGAATGGGGAAGAGGGCACAACGTGGCAGAGAGAGAGAATAATTTAACTGTCCAGGATACACAATGGATTATATTGATAACAGGATGCGGAGACAAAGACGGTCATAGGTGGAGGGAGAAAATACTTTCGCATGGACTTGACCAGCGAACTACAAGGAGTCAGCAGTGCAGATGGCTACAGATCAAGGGCAGCAGAGGAAAAGGAGCGACCTTCCACGCTCAAATTATTTTGTTCCATCGTTAGGCAGCTCAATCACCATCACCGGGGGGCAGCTCCATTACTTTCGGTCACGCCACCAGAGCTACAACTTTATTGTTCTCTCTGCATACCCAACCATGGTCAAGTATTTTCCTGCCACATTATTAGGGTTGCGATCCATTTCTTGCTCAAGAGACGCCGACCTATTGTTGACGTGTAAATCAATGAGCATACTACGTCGGACGCCATACATGCATCACGGGTCGGGGCGCTGTAAGATTGTCTCATCTTGTTAGCTCAAGTCCTCTGTTCCTTACTATCACTTCCGATATTGATTTACCTAACACGCTATCACTCTCATACCATCTATTAATCACAATACCATCGTCAATCACATTCAACCAATTAACCTCACTCACAAGAATAAATCCCACCCAGAACATTTCATCACTTCCATTACAACATACTCCTATCAGCAATGACTGTCCATTCTGGGAATTGACGCCTTTCTCATTAACGCCAGATCCGCAGCTAAGCATGCTATCTCTTTATCAGACAAAACTGCTTAGTTGATACCCCAATTTTCTTGCCGGACATAAACCTGGTTTCATGAATCCTTCGCTTCAGACATAGTCAATCTCCTCCCTGGTTATAAAATGCACCGTGCGAATCGAATCTCATCTTTCAGGATTATTTACACTGCACCTGTAGGGCCTCTATTTTAAATCCTTAGAATATCTATATATTCACTGATATTTTGAGAACAATTACTCCTTTAATCTGTTTATTGTTCCGCTGATTGAGATTCTGATTGGTTGGATGAAATGTTTGACCTGAGTGCAACCCTGTCATCGGAGTCCCCTTTCTCCCTGATATGGAGGGATTTCAATGTCCGGGGCGACTCTCCTCATGACAAGTTAGCCTGCCAGTTCATAGACAATATGCTTATCCTAGACTATTCGATATCTCAATGGCCCCACCCATAGAATTAGACATACACCTGACATTTTTTTCAGCACAAATCCCAATTTCTATTTTGGACATCATTCAGGTCGACCGGTCGGATAATTTTCTGATTATATTTAAACTTGATATCAAAGCTCGTTTATATCCTCATCATGTAAAAAAAAAAGAAACATTCTAATTAGAGCAAACAAATAATTGATATCCGATAACCTGACAATATTTCTGCAGGAGGATCTGGGGACTGTTGTCTCCACAGTTCAGCTTGCTGAGTTTGGAGACCTGTGTCACGTTTCACTTACCAACGCTCTTTACTCAGTGGCTTCTAAAAAAATTGATTTGCTCGAAGCGTTTACCCCCTAAAGTCTGTTTCGCACAAAACGTTGTTCTCAGAAGGCAAGTGTCCACATCTGAAGGGCATTGGTGAAAACCCGTTCTGCTGAATGACAACACTTCACTCAAACTGCGGAGGGAACATCACAAATAAATATTTGATGCCAAAAATACGTATCTTGCAAACATGATTGAAACTGGCAAGAATTAACTTCGGGATTTATTCAAAATTGTCAGTGAGCTGGCCATCCTTCAATCCACCAAACATGCTCTTCCCAACAGGAAATCTGTCAAGCCTTTCTATTAAAACTTTGACAACAAAATTCATATTGTCAGAATGCCCACAACCCAAAACTGCCGTTCTAGCCGCCATAGATTTGCGCATTGAGTTTTGGTGACCTTTTTGGCGTTTACTCGAAAAAAACCAGATGGGTCTTCCATCCCCTGCCGACGAGACGCTGAACGTCCAAACCGGGCCAGAGTTTGCTTGCCTTGAACCCTGCGACGTTATTCGCTCGTTTCCAAGAGCCGTGCGGCTGACGGGATGAGTAAATGAACGTTTGTCGCGTGGAGGGGACGCTTGTGGTTTACAGGAGGCGGATTGCGTGGTCGTGCGTGATTGTGGCACGTAGCCACAACCATCCAACAACGTCCAGCACGAATCTTCATTGGCCACAATCGATTTACTTGCTGGACGGATCTCCCCTTCCCCCCCCCACCATCGAGCCGTCGCGATCTCGCGACGTTATCGATCCGACGGTACCCACACAGTTCCTCCTGCACGACGCGGAATGATTAATTGTAATGATTGATTATTCCGTTGTTCCGTCTCCTTCCTGCGCGTGCGCTCCCACGTGACCGACTCACAGCGGCAGTGGCGGAAGAGGAGGCGGAGGAGGCGGCGGAGGAGGAGGAGGCGGTAAGCGACGCGGAGATCGCGAGGGACGACGAGGAGAGAGACGGTGAGGCACGAGGGGAGAGACGAGGTGGGGTGAGACGGGGGGAGCGAGACGAGGTGGGGAGAGAGACGAAGTGTGGGGTGGGGCACGAGGTGGGGAGAGACGAGGTGGGGAGAGAGACGAAGTGTGGGGTGGGGCACGAGGGGAGAGAGACGAGGTGGGGAGAGAGACGGGGGGAGAGAGACGAAGTGTGGGGTGAGACATGAGGGGAGAGACGAAGTGTGGGGTGAGACGAGGGGTGAGAGACGAGGTGGGGAGAGAGACGAAGTGTGGGGTGGGACGAGGTGGGGAGAGAGACGAGGTGGGGAGAGAGACGAAGTGTGGGGTGAGACACGAGGTGGGGAGAGAGACGAGGTGGGGGGGGGGGAGAGAGACGAGGTGGGGGGGGGGGGAGAGAGACGAGGTGGGGGGGGGGGAGAGACGAGGTGGGGGGTGAGAGACTGAAAGACGGCCGTTGCGAGAGACGGTAGAATGAGTGGCGAGGTGGGAGACGAGGGGATGATGATGATGATGGTGGTGGAGGGGAGAGATTGCGAGAGGGACAAAGGGCAAGAGCGACGGACACACGGGGCAGGGACAGGGAGGGACACGCCGAGCGGGAGACGGACACGGAGGCACACACAGACGTGGGAGACACAGGGCGATAGGGACAACGATTTATTCCGTGAGTGCCTTTGGTGTATATAATGTGTCCATGTTGCGTGTGTGGGAGTGATGTGTCCATGGTATGCGTGTGCTGTTTCGTGTTGTGCGAGTGCCATGTTGTGTGTGTTTGATGTGTCATGGGGGTTGAGTGCCATGTTGTGTGTGCGCCTTCTGTTTCGACACTTCACGTGGCCTTAAAAGTGCCTTAAAGCGCACATAGCCTGGCACGAGCGCCGTGGTGACGTTGCCGCCACTGTGTGGTGAATGGCGGTTGTTGAGCGGTTTGATGTTGCGTGTGAGTGTTGTGCCGTGTTGTGTGTGAGTGTTGTGCCGTGTTTTGTGTGAGTGTTGTGCAGTGTTGCGTGTGAGTGTTGTGCCGTGTTGCGTGTGAGTGATGTGTGTGAGTGTTGTGCCGTGTTGTGTGTGAGTGTTGTGCCGTGTTGCGTGTGAGTGCCATTGGGTGTATGATGTGACTTGGTGTGTGTGTGCTGTTTGATGTTGTGTGTATGTGATGTGCCACGATGTGTGAGTGCCATTGGGTGTATGATGTGACATGGTGTGTGTGTGCTGTTTGATGTTGTGTGTATGTGATGTGCCACGATGTGTGAGTGCCATTGGGTGTATTATGTGACATGGTGTGTGTGTGCTGTTTGATGTTGTGTGTATGTGATGTGCCACGATAGGTGAGTGCCATTGGGTGTATGATGTGACATGGTGTGTGTGCTGTTTGATGTTGTGTGTATGTGATGTGCCACGATGTGTGAGTGTCATTGGGTGTATGATGTGACATGGTGTGTGTGTGTGCTGTTTGATGTTGTGTGTATGTGATGTGCCACGATGTGTGAGTGCCATTGGGTGTATGATGTGACATGGTGTGTGTGTGTGCTGTTTGATGTTGTGTGTGTGTGTGATGTGCCACGCTGTGTGCTATGCGTCTGAGCAGATGTCGCCACGGAGGTGTGCCAAGCAGGTGGTGCTGATTTTCCAGTGCGAGTGGAGCAACTGTGCGTATATCTCCTCCAGCATTGAGGTGTTCAGCTGCCACATGGGCTCTCACCTGCGTGCCCACCTATCCCAGATTTCCACAGGTGTGGGGACGATATATTTTTTTCATTTGATAGACAGGTGACCTTATTCAGTCATTCCTGTTTCCTTGTGGTTGTTTCTTGATGGCAAATTAACACAATGTTTTGTCATCGCAAACAGTACAGTTATGTCAGTTGCGAACCTGAATGCAGTTAACAAAGTGCACACACACTTGTGTTGTGCATGTTATTTATGTGCACAGTCATACATACACCAGTGACGATAATCTGAACGAGTCCTGGGTCTCACCTAGACCTCAAATGAGTAATCGGTGTGGTGTGTAAACATTGCCATTGGGGAGACAAAGGCGGCCGGGCATGGTGCTCCCGCCAACCCCTTCGTGTGCCGTGCCAGCCCTCGGGGTTTACTTTCAGCACTTGAATCGATTGGCGGTAGCCCGGGTCACCGCAAAATATTGGTGGGCCCGGCATAGTTTAAGGTTTTTTTCTGGAAGCATCGCTGGTACTATCCTGTCCTGCCGGAGGGCGACGCTGAGAGCGATGATGACGACAATGTCGATCCCGCTAGCACGACCATGACCGCCGGCCGTACCAAGAGAGTGCCTGGTGCGCCATTGCCTCCAAGTGGTCTCGCTCCCGAAGACAAGGGTGGCCGCCCCCGTAAGAAGCAGAACGTGCTGGGGAATGACCAGACCAGCATCCTGATGTACTTTCAAAACAAGCAATAAACAGCTATTGCCACGCACAAATCCCCAGCAGCCCCCCTTTTGATGAGTGTTTTGCGTGTGTTTTTTATTCCCATATTTGGCGTGCGTATCGGGCTCAGTGACATCTCCCGTATTCATAGGCCTTCTGGTTTCGGAGTTATGGAGGTTTTGGCACCCCCGGGTCACGATGGTGACCCGGGTCACCGCCAATCGATTAACTTGCCCCAACAGTCTAGTAAGGCTATACGGGATGGATCTTGTCTTTGTGTGCTCAGGCGAGGTGACCTGCCTGTGGAGTGAATGCGGCTTCACAGCATACGAGGGTCCGCCCGAGTTAGAACGTCACATCTACTTCCACGTCTTCCACACCAAACTCAAGCAGCTGGGCCTGCGCGTCCTCGATTCGTGCAAGGCAGTCACCCCCTCGCCAGATCCTGCTGCCGACGCTTCGTTGCTGCCGCCGCCACTGGAGACGGAGGCAGCGCCGATGCCTGGCGGCGCGTGCGACCAGGGCGTGGTGATGCGGAGCGTGCCGGGTTGCGGCCTCGACAGCCACACGCGCAACCTCGTGCCCGAGCTGCCCGACAGCTTCCAGTGCCAGTGGGAGGGCTGCGAAGTGAGCACACACAAACACACACACCACGAAGATGCTGTGTAATCTTAACAGACTTTTGGGACCGGCAAGGTACACGAGGCTGTGGGTGGCCAGCACCATGCCTTTGGCTCCGTAGTGCCGGTGTTTACACACTACACCAGATACTAATTTAAGGCTGATTCGTCGTGGGGGAGGCCCACAATTCAGATAATTGTCACTTGTGTTAGCCTTGAGTGGCAATCGAACCCGGGTGACTGGGTTCGTAACGCAGCGCACTCACCGTTGTACTACCGCTCCCCACTACTTATATATACTGTACTATATATACACACATACGCTGTACACATACAATCACATCATATCATAAGCGGTTAACCAATTACTACGTGCGCGATCCTATTAATATATTATTTGATGAGCCAATGCCCAGTTACATCGCCTTTGCTGTGTGTACATTGCGTGCGATGTGCGGTGTACGTGTGGCATGCGTCCCCCGCCTCTGCCTGGTGTGTATTGCAGAGAAAATTCTCTCACCCTGAATGGTTTTACCGGCACGTGGATTCCCACACGGAGCAGTTCAAGCAGCCCGGCGCGGTCAACACTGCCGGGGGTTCCATCACCTGCCTTTGGATAGGTTCGCTGCTCGCGCGTGTGACCCTGTGTCATATTTGCTCTTTGCCCATGACCTGTGTGTGTCTGCTCGCGTGTGTGTGTGTTCAGTATGTTGGACGTGGTGCTGGCCACCCTCTCACCCCCTCGTGTGCCATGCCGGCCTTCATAGGTGCTCACTAACAGCACTTGCCCAAACAGTTTGTTCCGGCTATACGGTGGATCTTTGTCTTTGTGTGTTGGGAGCGGTGGTGCAGTGGTTCGTGCATTGCGCTAAGAACCCGGTGACCCGAGTTTGATTCCTGCCCACGATCAATGACAGTAGCGAATATTTGAACCAGTCCTGGGTCTCCTCTAGGTCGACTATGCCTTAAATCAGTACCTGGTGCGGTGTTTAAGGATCAGCACTGGGAAGACAAAGGCGATCGGGCGTGGTGCGAGCCACCCACCTCCTAGTGTGACGTGCTGCGCTTCATAGGTGCTCGCTAACAGCACTTGCCCCAACAGTCTCATTATAGGTTATACCAGAGATCTTTGTTAATGTGTCTTGCTGCATTGGATGTTCTCTCGCATGCTCTGTCATGTTGTACGGTGGATGTCGTGCTCATTCAAAACAATGTGCACACATGTACAGTTCATTATTGTCAATCCATTACTGGATGATGGGCTTCCCACACCGCGCAGGTTGTGGGGTTCATGGGACTTACTTTTCCATGCTGGTAAATGCAGGTTGGTGAAGGGTGTAGATAGAAGTACGTGTCTATGTATGTATGTATGTTGAACTTCTTTAGCACTGTGCGTAGTCAACCGTGCTGATCTAAGGTGTGGGAAAGTACAGTCCACAAATGTATTTTTCTGCACTGCGATAGATTGCCCCCATAACCTGCCTTCTGAAGAAGGGGAAAGCCCCTTCTTAAAAGTAATTTGTCCGCGACAACTATCGGTTAAGGAAATTTATTTGATTTTATATTTTTTGTCTGTGCACCGTTTTCGATTTCCTCTCTCACGCGGTTGTTTTTACTGTGTTTTGTATTTTGTTGTTTTTGTGGTGAATTATATTTTTTCATTGTTTTGCTTTGTTTCTGTTATTACTTTAGTAATTTTGTTGACCCGGGTCACTCTTGCAAATTACACTGTATCCTGTCTTTTAAGTTCTCACCTGTTAAACAAAATAAACCAAACTGTAAGCCACGCCCAGCGTGACGCGGCTGATGATGCTGATGGCATCGTCAAGCCCCACCCATTACCTCCCGTCCAGCGGCACATGCGGGAACTGCTTTAACATTTATTAATATTTTACAACTACAGTCGTGATATCTGATTAGATAAGCAATTGAACTGATAATCGACCGCGTAATCGATTGCTTTGAAAAAAAGATCAACATATCCGTTTGCGCAGATTGTATCATCGTTGTAGTCATCGTTGTTGTTGGTATCCCCCTTTGCTCTCTCAGAATGCGAGGCCACGTGCCGCTCGCGGTTCCGCCTGTGCGAGCACCTGCGCACGCACACACAGGAGAGGGTGGTTGCATGCCCCACTTGCGGAGGCATGTTCTCCAACAACACCAAGCTCATCGACCACGTCACACGACACCAGTCCAACCAGGGTAACGAACGCAACAGTCTACCACGTAGCCCTGTAATACTGCTGCCAGTGTTGTTAGCAAGTGGCTATTAAGGCCAGCATGGCGCCCAAGTCAGTTGAGGGTTGTCTGGCACCAATCTTGAATATCTTAGTTTCCCTGCTGTGATTCCCAGTGCTGAAGCTCTCCCGACACGGCGGCAGGAGGGTGTTCAAGGCTGCTGAGTCAACCCGTGTCGGTGTAAATGCATGAATCAGCGAATGGTACCAGTTTAACGTCAAAGTAGAGTGAGTATAATGAGCTCTTTTTAGTCATGGGCAGGGATCGGAAGCCAAAATTACAAGAAGAGCCATTTTTTTTAGAAATCGATAAAAACTCAATATTTCAAGAGCCGCCAAGGCATGTGAATACGACACGGTGGTCCTTAGTAAATAACATCACGCAGCATCCCTTAAAGAGCCGCACGTTACCGACCCCTGTTCATGGGGGAATTGATCTGCCAAACCTGAAGGGCAATGGAAATCGTGGCACTACAAGCATGGTGATGCTATTCTGTCGAGTGCAAAGCCTACAGAGAAGAAGCAGCAGCAGTGATAACATCATTGAGTCCTTCAGCTTTGGGGGTACCTAGCTTGTTGAGCCGGTTATTTGAATACCCCAGAGGTGCTGTTGTCACATTTATTGATGCCATAGATTAGACAGCATCCAAGTGCAACAAATAGAGTAAGGTTTGAGTGGTATTTGTGGTGGTTTATTTGCACATTGTACTTTGCTATGGTGTATTTGCAAGTGGTATGTGTGCTGTGGTGTGTTGTGTTGGTGAATTGTGTATGTCGGTGAGTGGTGTGTGTGTGTGTTATGTTGCGTGATGGTGAGTGGTATGCATGTCGTGTGATGTTCGAGGTCCTCAGCCAGTCGTGGAAATTCCACATTCCTATGATGAGAACCAGCCTACCTAGATGATAACCACTGTTGCCCTTCTTAAAGTGGTACTAGTATAGTGCATGCACTGCTTGTTGTTGTGTGGAGTGTATGGGGTGTTTGTAGTGGCTGGCATGCATGCAATAGTACCGTAGGTTGTTGTGTGTTCACGATGCCATGTCATTGACAAGGTGACGCAATCCTAATGTGTACGTGGTGCATGCTTCCAGTGGCAGCATTTCAGTGTTCCCACTGCTCCAAGAACTTCACGAGTGAACGGATCTTGAGAGACCACATGCGACACCACAGTGAGTTTTGCACATTCACCACCACCACCAACGCAGCATGGTTCTCTTTAAAATGCTGCACCGCACACATCACAGACACCGTCACATCTTCGAGAGCCAATGAAAACAAGGTACACCAACTCCAAATATACCACCACAATCACCACCATGTATAACCACTATACAGAGTCGTCACCACACACCACTCCACTTTGAAGCACCAATTATGGCTCCGTCATTGATCTAAGTTCATACGGTGGACGCAAAATGCATGAACTCCACCTCTCACAATGTCACTCAACCCAAGTCGGTATCCATGGGAGTATTTTGAAGTTCATTTTCTTAAAACCCCTTACAGAAGTATTTAAATACATATTTTACCATTTCGGAAATATTGACTTTGTATTTTACTTTGGCAGAAGAGAGGCACTTTTGTCTTAGATTGTCTCACGTTTGCTTCTGTGCTTCCAAACCTACCTTGCAAACAGTCTGAGCCGCATGTCTTGCGTTGGTCTCCCGGGTTTCTGCGTTCCGCCTTGTTGTGTTCCATTTGGCTCCCATGGGCACTTAGCTTTGCTGCCCTCTTCTCCCTGTGCCTAAACCCTGCCCCCACCTCAGTTCTCCAGGCTTCACCCCCTTCTTATTTGAATCCTCTATAAAGGGGTCTGCTTTACAGGCCGGATAGAGTAAGTGCAACCTCAGCATCTATCCTTTGCTGTTGTGTGCAGTGTGTGGTAGAATTAATTGCATGGAATGCGATAGGCATGTGTTTCTTCACCCCATCCATGATTTTATTCGCATTCAGGATCACAGTTTGTTTAAAAGAATTACAGACAGACCTCGCGTATTGCTCAAGATGCATTCCTGGAGAAGTGAGCGCAAATCGAATCGACACTGAAAGGGGTCCGACAGCATTATTTCTTATGCATGAGCAATTTATGAGGGCTTCGTTGCAGTATCCGTAAGCGCACAAATAATAATCCAGGTAGCAAACACGTTATATATATGAAGAAAACTAATTTATTATAACGTCACTAAATGTTATGTACTCTACTCAAGTGCATTCTACTGTACTCTTAAAAGGCAGCGGTGGGAGACGAGATTGGAGGAGCTGGTGCTCTCCCTTTCTGAGTTATATTAGTGATGCCCTCAGTCTACATTTCTGTGGTGAGGTTTCTTTTAGGTGGAGCCTCTGAGACTCCATATTGGTGTCGTGAGTTCTCACCTGGAAAAACGTACTGTAATAAAACTGGAGAGGGGAAAACAAAAATAGATTTTTTTTAATGTAACCATGGCCGCGAATTGTAATAATCGAATTGCGCGTGGTGGAGTGCTAATTGGCTCAGAGTGTGCGTCACCTCTCATTGGCTGAGCGAATGTAAACAAAGTTGGTGGTGGGTGCATTTCATCGGCCGGCTGGCGCTGCATGTTCTCACTCAAAAGCGAGTTTGGATTTTATTTTTTTCGTCAAACAAAAATTATCCAGGACAAAGAGCAACATCACTATTCAATGTTCGACGGGGTCACGCTATGCAAGATCTGCCTCTACATACTTTTTTTCTAATTTGTGCTGTCTCGTATTGTCTGTACTGTCTCATACCATTTAATATATTCTTAGTCTCATTTATTTTCTCATCGATACCCTCTTGTTTTTACCATATCACTTGTGCTGTCTGTGCACTGGCTTCGTTGTTTAACTTCGTGTGTACTGTCTTGTTTCCACTGTCTTGTTTGTACCATCTATCCTGATTTTACTTCTTGTTTTTTTTTCTCTCCTGTTAATTCCAATCGTTATTCTAATGGGAAATGTGGATAAAATGTCCATGCCTTGAAGAACATTATTAATATACACAGTTCTGCAATTATATTATTGGTTCTTTCGGTAAAGTCACATAGAAGGGAAACAATAAAAATATAAAACAATTAAATTCTCACGACGTTTTGACTGCAACACAAGCAATCATCATCAAGTGTGAAAACCACTGCAAAAACATTTTCTTGCTGTGGTTTTCACACCTGATTATGATTGCTTGTGTTGCAGTCGAAACGTCGTGATAATTTTAGTGTTTTATATTTGTATTGTTTCCCTTCTACGTGACTTTACCGAAAGAACCAAGAACATGAATCCCTGCAGTCACGAAAGATTTAAATCAAAAGTTCTGCAATTGTTATCCTGGGTGTTGAAATATATCTTAACTGATGGTAATAATCGATCATCAATGGCTCAATGTTGATGTGTTCATAATAAAATACTGCCTTGAAAGAAAAGATATACAATTGGTGATGTCTAGGGCAATGGCCCTTCTTTGTAGCACGTAAATGAACTGCTGAGTCAGTGGATCGTTTCATGCCCAACGTGTGACATTTGACATCTGTGCTGTCTGGTATTGAATGCAGTCAACCACTACAAGTGCCCTTTCTGCGACATGACATGCCCGGCCCCATCTTCACTGCGCCATCACATCCGGTACCGGCATGAGCCGGGGAAACCCTTCCCCTGCTCGATGTGCCAGCACGGGTACGGTGCCTGCATGCACGATCGCATAGTTCACTACACGCACAAACACATTTCACATGGCACGTGACCAGCCATGTTACGCATTGTAGTTCAAATACTACGATGAAAAATATTAAGCTGATAGGTATCTGGGAGGCTCAACCAGGGCACATGGTGAGTTGGCCCCACTTGTATATGGCTACATCCACTCAACCACTAGCCCCATCCAGAGAGTAATGACCTCTTCGCACCTTTTCATAACGTTGGCCCAGCCCACTGCTCATAGGCCCTCTCACATATCTGCCAACCCCACCCACAACCCAAGTGTTGAGCATGAGACTAGAAAATGTTTAACTGGGACAAAATCCAGATTCTTACAATGCTTTAGAACACCAGGACTGCCCCACCCAAACCAAAATGTTTGGTAGCTTTACATCTACAACACTCACAATACACACATTGTATTGCGCACTGCACAGTATTATCTGACAATATCTAACAATGTCATGCCATCGCAGATGGAATTTGTGGCTTTCGCTGGGTTTGGTCAAAATGAGCATGTGGCAGGTGCCACTATTTAAATTCTACTGCATATGATGATATAAACAGAGTACCTGGAGAAAATCCATGGGTTAACACAGAAAAACGGCTCTACAAACCCGGCGGCCCGAGTTCAAATCGCTCACAGCTAATACCATTGACCAGTACCTCACTGGTCCTGGGCCTCCCCTAGGTCCACTCAGCATAAAATCATTAGCTCGTACGGTGTTTAAACATCGCCACTTAGGGAGACAAAGCCAGCCGGGCGTGGTTATCGCCACCCACCCCCTCTTGTGCCTACCAGCTTTTATAGTTGCTCATTAATTGCACTTGCCCCAACAGTCTGTTAAGGCTATATGGGGTATCTTTGTATTTGTGGTGTTCTGCGGGCTGATGTGGACGCTGTGGACGCTGTGGACGCTGTGGACGCTGTGACCCGGCTCCGCTGTGCGTGGGCGTAGATGTAAGAACCAGGCAGACCTGCATCGCCACATGGAGACGCACACCACTGGGAAGCCCCACCGCTGCGATGCGCCGGGGTGCGACTTCAGCGCGCGCACGCTGAAAACCGTGCGGCAGCACTACCGGCGCGTGCATCAGGTGAGCAACAACAACCACCAGCTCTGTGAAAAATAACCGCAATAACCGCCACGACAACCGCAGCTGCTCTAGATTTAAAGCTTTCGTGACTGCTAGGATCCATACTCTTTGGTTCTATTGGGTAAAGTCACGTAGGTGAAAATAAAATAACAATAGAACCAAAGAACCGCAACTGCCACAACAACAGCAACCACCGCAGTGAATAACAACTGCAACAATAACCACAACAATCGCAACCACCATTGTGAGAAACAATCGCAAGAATAACCACAACAATAGCCACAACTGCCACAACAACCGTAACCACCACTATGAATAGCAACCGCTACCAATAACCACAACCAGCGCCACCACTGCGAATAACAATGCCAACAACCACAAACAACCACCAGCATGAATGTCATCCTCAACCGTGTCATACAGCGCTACTAGCATCCACAGCAGGCAGCAACCACTAAACACAACACAAACAACAAATAATGCGAGTTGGTACGTACATACACAGCCATTTTGTCAATCCACTGCCAGACCAGGGCCTCCCTATGCCATGCAGGTCATCGGGGGGGGGGCGTTATTTGACCATACTTCACCACGCTACCCGGTGCAGGTTGGTGAAGGCGAGGAGCGTCAGATCCCGAGATTTGGAGGACACGCCATGTTTGTCGTCACGCTGTCTCCCGTTGCTGTGTCCCCTCTGCGCAGCGCCGTGCCGCTTGTGCTGCGCCGTGCCGCTTGCGCCCCAACGTGCCGCTTGTGCCCTGACGTGCCGCTTGTGTCTTGGCGTGCTGCTTGCGCCCCGACGTGCCGCTTGTGCCCTGACGTGCCGCTTGTGCTGCAGCGTGGCGCTTGTGTTCTGATGTGCCGCGTATGCTCCAGCGTGCTGCTTGTGTCTCGGCGTGCCACGTGTGGTCCGGCGTGCCCCGCGTGGTCCGACGTGCCGCTTGTGTCTCGGCGTGCCACGTGTGCTCCGGCGTGCCCCGCGTGGTCCGACGTGCCGCTTGTGTCTCGGCGTGCCACGTGTGCTCCGGCGTGCCGCTTGTGTCGCGTGTGCCACGGCGTGCCGCATGTGCTCCAGGGTACCGCGTGTGTTCCAACATGCCGCGTGTGCTCCGGCGTGCAGGGCGCCGCGGCAGCGTGCTACAAATGCCACTGCTGCGAGAAGGTCTTCTCGCGTGGCAGCATCCTCACCAGGCACCTGCGCGTGGCTCACCGCTTCCTCTGGCCGCCGGGATACCCACGCTTCCGGTACTCGAGCTGCATCGTATACTTTTAAAGACGAGCCACAATCATGCATGCTATTGTGGCCGTGCAACCCAAACTATGGACCACGTAGTAAACCGCTGTGGTTCTGCGCTCCTTCAACGGAGGAGGAATAGCAATGCTACACGAACTCTCTCCAGAAGCCCTCCTGTCCTGACGAGCAGACATGGACATAGGCATCCAGCTCCTGAGCATATTGCCATACGCAAGAATAGAATACCCTTGCCTACCACCCACACACCTCTATACCAAGAGAAAGGATCCCCCATATAGCCTCAATAGACTGTTGGGGCAAGTGCCTTTAGCGAGCACCTATGGAGGCTGGCACACGAGGATGTGGGCGGCCAGCACTACACCCGGTGCTGTTGGTCTCCCCAGCAGTGATGTTTACACATTGTACCAGGTACTCTTTTAAGGCAGAGGCAAAAAGAGCAACATCTTTTTAAGTAAAGAAAAATTTTGACTCATGCAAGAAGTCTTCTGTGTATGATGATGTTGTACAGTAGGTGGTGGCAACGGGTGGGGAAGCCTTCATCCAGCAGTGGATTGACCATGGCTGATGATGACGATGGTGTGTAGGTACCAGGAGCACGAGGACGGGTATCGGCGCGTGCAGCTTGTGCGCTACGAGACCGTGGAGCTTGCGGAGCAGCTCATCAAGGACTGCGAAGAAGAGCAGCAGCAAATGCAGCAGCTGGAACAACAGCAGCAGCAGCAGCAGGAGATACAGCAGCTGGAACTGCAGCTGGAACAGCAGCTGGAACAGCAGCAGCAGGAGACGCTGCAGCAGACAGAATAACACCTGCATTGGCAGGAGACTCAGATGCTGTAATATCCAGAGGACCTAAACCTGCATTGAATTGAACAATAGTCAACATTTTAACATGGAATTTTATTAAGCCCTATAAGAATTAATGACTTTTATGACATGGTTGGTATCTTATGCGAGATGAAAAAGCAAGTGTGGGCCAGTTTGCGGTCCCCGATTTAATAACCAAATAGACCAATTTTACTGCACGTTAACACTTCGTAATGCAGTCTTGTTACAACGTATTTCACAAATATCTTTTTATGTGATGCTTTGTTGCAATTTGTTTCGTGATTTAAACCCCTAATAAAAGTGTCACCTTTTGTAGCAGAGTAAAGCGTGTGAATTGAACACACCCAATTGAGGAAAAGAACTACCTAACTGTGGCTTCAGATCAATTCCACAGTGGGAAGTGATGTTCGAGTTGACAATTGAGACGCTAAGAAGTGCACAAAGAAGCATGGAGAGATACATTTTTGTGTTACACAAATCCTTATTGGGGTACCAAATAATACAAAATGGCCGAGGCAATTAAATATTTTATTTCTGAGACACTATTTTTTCCCAGGGGTGTAACTTAACTCTGCGACTGGGGTACCAATCAGTCCGAAATCGGTGCTACTCCGCAATGTCGAAACGCAGCGAGGACGATTGCGCTGAAACCCTGAACGCTCGCACGCACCGTGGTGGTGCATCGTGTACAGCTCGTCGAGATGAGTCTCTTGCCGCATCGCTGACCAACACTCAAAATTACTGCATCACGGACATTATGCGAGAGCCGGAGTACTATGGTACTCCGAGGAACCGCTATAAGGTTCATATACCGAGAGGAACATGAATAAGGCTGCAATGGAGGAGATGCAAAGTCATGGCTCCATCCAAGTTGAGTCCGCTCGGCATCACCGTCCCCCCGACTGGGCCAGCGCCATAGTCGGCACCGCACCGCCATCGTGGCCGTGAAGTCAGTGGATGGCGTGGTGCACTCGCACTGTCGTCAGTAGGGCCTTAAGTTGCCACTGCATGACAGGAAAAGCTACGCCGGTGCACAGCCACAACTTCTGCTGCTCGGGCAGGATACTGCTGACGTTGCCACCTACCGGCCAACCTTCCACGACGTTGAAACAGACCAAGATGCCACTGGCACACACGAGTGCTGCCCTCTCCGAACGCCCGTGCCCAGCTACAATGCAGAAGTCGGAATTGCCCTGTGGTGTTGGCCTCAAGAGGGCTACTACCCTCACCTGCCCTCAGTCCCCTATGGAGTTGACACAGGAGCTAAGATGGCCGAGTCTGTGGAAGGTGAAAAGAGCCTACGTCAATCTCGTGAATAATCTTCAGATACCAATCTACATTTTTAAACACAACTTTGACATCTGATTGTTGTATTTATACTGTTACTACTGTAATAGTGACGTTATGGCAAAGGAATGTAATTTTTCACATAGGCATAAAATACAATACTTTAGATCATTCAGTCATAGCAGAGGATCGTTGCACAAAACGTGTCACGTCTTGCGACAGCATTCGCATAAACTGCTCTTGCTGCCATACACCGGTGTCGAGTGATGTTTGATCCACATATTACGGGAGGGAGGCAAACCATGGAGACAATGCCATTCCTTTGAGTGTCGTAGTGCACTTCAACTGAACTTAAACTGAAGTGCACCATTTTCTAGATTTTGCACATCAAGACAGGAGACGGGTCCAAAAAGTGACAGCCGTCTCCCTCAAACTAAGCTCCTAATCGCGAAGATTGGTCGCAGATGCAATGGTGACATTTCTGACGACGTGGAATCACTGGATGCCAAGGAGTCTTTGGCATCGCGTGTGGAAGGACTGCAGCCGATCCAAATCATCGTAAAGCAATGTCCAGGCCTCCGCACCATACAGCAAAACTGACAAAACAGCACTGGTAGACTCTCAATTTGGTGCCCAGACTTAAACATTTCTCCAACCAAATGCGGTTCAGACTACTATTCCTGAGGTCAGACCAATCCGGCGCATGACAGATCTACAGTGAGGGAAAAAAGTATTTGATCCCCTGCTGATTTTGTACGTTTGCCCACTGACAAAGAAATGATCAGTCTATAATTTTAATGGTAGGTTTATTTGAACAGTGAGAGACAGAATAACAAAACAAATCCAGAAATACACGTCAAAAATGTTATAAACTGATTTGCATTTTAATGAGGGAAATAAGTACGTGACCCCTCTGCAAAACATGACTTAGTACTTGGTGGCAAAACCCTTGTTGGCAATCACAGAGGTCAGATGTTTCTTGTAGTTGGCCACCAGGTTTGCACACATCTCAGGAGGGATTTTGTCCCACTCCTCTTTGCAGATCTTCTCCAAGTCATTAAGGTTTCGAGGCTGACGTTTCGCAACTTGAACCTTCAGCTCCCTCCACAGATTTTCTAAGGGATTAAGGTCTGGCGACTGGCTAGGCCACTCCAGGACCTTAATGTGCTTCTTCTTGAGCCACTCCTTTGTTGCCTTGGCCGTGTGTTTTGGGTCATTGTCATGCTGGAATACCCATCCACGACCCATTTTCAATGCCCTGGCTGAGGGAAAGAGGTTCTCACCCAAGATTTGACGGTACATGGCCCCGTCCATCGTCCCTTTGATGGGGTGAAGTTGTCCTGTCCCCTTAGCAGAAAAACACCCCCAAAGCATAATGTTTCCACCTCCATGTTTGACGGTGGGCATGGTGTTCTTGGGGTCATAGGCAGCATTCCTCCTCCTCCAAATACGGCGAGTTGAGTTGATGCCAAAGAGCTACATTTTGGTCTCATCTGACCACAACACTTTCACCCAGTTGTCCTCTGAATCATTCAAATGGTCATTGGCAAACTTCAGACGGGTATGTATATGTGCTTTCTTGAGCAGGGGGACCTTGGGGGCGCTGCAGGATTTCAGTCCACGGCGTAGTGTGTTACCAATTGTTTTCTTGGTGACTATGGTCCCAGCTGCCTTGAGATCATTGACAAGATCCTCCCGTGTAGTTCTGGGCTAATTCCTCACCGTTCTCATGATCATTGCAACTCCACGAGGTGAGATCTTGCATGGAGCCCCAGGCCGAGGGAGATTGACAGTTATTGTGTTCCATTTGCGAATAATCGCACCAACTGTTGTCACCGTCTTCTTTGGTTCTTTCGGTAAAGTCACGTAGAATGAGAATAAAATAATAAATTGATAAAATAAAATAACAATATTCTCACGACGTTTCGGCCACAACACAAGCGGCCTTCATCAGGTGAAGGGACGAGACTGTCTGGTAGGACAGCGCTGGAGTGGTTGTCACCGTCTCACCAAGCTGCTTGGCAATGGTCTTGTAGCCCATTCCAGCCTTGTGTAGGTCTACAATCTTGTCCCTGACATCCTTGGAGAGCTCTTTGGTCGTGGCCATGGTGGAAAGTTTGGAATCTGATTGATTGCTTCTGTGGACAGGTGTCTTTTATACAGGTAACAAGCTGAGATTAGGAGCACTCCCTTTAAGAGTGTGCTCATCTCAGCTCGTTACCTGTATAAAAGACACCTGGAAGCCAGAAATCTTTCTGATTGAGAGGGGGTCAAATACTTATTTTCCTCATTAAAATGCAAATCAATTTCTAAAATTTTTGACATGCGTTTTTCTGGATTTTCTTGTTATTCTCTCACTGTTCAAATAAACCATTAAAATTATAGACTGATCATTTCTTTGTCAGTGGGCAAACGTACAAAATCAGCAGGGGATCAAATACTTTTTTCCCTCACTGTACATTGTCCTTCAGTGATCTTTACAGATCCCAGGTAGATAAATTCCTACACTGCTTCGACAGCATTGCTGTTAATTATGCACGGTGCTTCCAAGAGCTCCGGAGCTCAAGTTGACTTTATTTTCTGCCATGAAACATCCTGCTTTTTATTGCATTGTTGTGGAAATATTGGAAGACTGGTGTGAATGTTTCAGGCTTCTCAAACAAGGCTAATCAGCATCGTCAAGGTCAGTGAAGTGGTGCCGGCCAATCCCGTTTCCAGTTTAAATTCACAATCAGAATGCGCAAGAAAACTTTTAAGTGTGACATGTCATACAGTCGAGTTATGTTATGAAAGAAAAGGAAGGTCGATGAGGAGTGTAGAGTTGTCCAAGAGAAGTGGAGGAATTCGTATTTCTTTGTGCTTCATCTGCGTACAGCAAATACAGGTAGCAATAGCCCAGACAGGTAGCTATACATACAATTGTATTCACCAATGTGTTTTGACATTACGTGGGTTGACACGAATTTAGCTACCGTTTCATTACAACAGATGTCCGGTAAATAGTATATGCTTTTCATTTTCATAGGCCCAGCCGTGTGGCCCATGGGGGAGGTGCATTTGAATCCAACCCGGCCTGCGTACCGATTGAGTTCGACAGCCCTGCTTCCAGCAATTTCGAACAAATCCAAGCATTCAAACGCCAACGGGACAATTGCAATCATGACAGCCACAACTGTAAATTAAATACCCACAAGTACAAAACACAAGAACCACAAATGTGTCTTTCAAAATCATTGCTTTATTAGATTAATTTAACAGTAACTGCCATTTACAAAGCTCGATCCCATTATGAATGAGGGGAGAAACCCAAGGCCTTCAGTCGAGTAGGTTTGCGCGCCTGCACGTGTTCGACTTCACAAATGCTCGCTGAAGTGTTTCTGTAAACGTAAACGTTTGCGCCTTGGACCTGCTAAGCGCAGAAAAGTGCACGCAAATAGTCCTTCGTGTTTTGTAATCTCCAATATCGCAACGTGGATGGAGCAATGGAAAAGGTGACGGCCGATCCCACCCTGGGGCCCCCCCGCCCCTCCCCCAACCAGCGACGACCAGCGTGGTGAAGTGGTCAACAACAAGCACTCAATGGTTATAGCGTGGGGAAGTTTGCACCTAGCGGTGGATAGACAATTGGCTGTAAATTATTACTACTATTGTTAACGTCCCTACATGCACGACTCATGGCAATTAGCCACCGTTGAAGTATTGGTGTTTGCATACTTTTCTTCGTCCGGCAGGAGTCACGTTTGTGCGAGCACGTGGGAAATGTAAAGGCAAATAGTGAGACCCCACGTTGCAGGACGATGTCACGGCATTTAACCGGAGCAGACGTCCGTGCACTGTTGGCAGAGAAGGCGAGGCATACATCAATCGGGTAGTCAAATTCTTCATGTGCGCTTTCATACAAAAACTGATGTGAATTCGAATCATGTTCGAGCAAGGATGTAGGTGAAGTCTGCTTAGAATTAGAATGGGCTAAAATGTAAACTCCAGTTTTTTTACCTTGGCCTATGAATGTTTGCTCCTGGAGGTAT